GACAAACTTCAAGTGTGTAACTTATACTTATTATAAAACCCAGGTTGTGTGTGTGTGTGTGTGTGTCTGTACGTTTATATATTGGATCGGATTTCCTACATTTTTCAACCTATTTCAACAAAACTTCACAGGACTACGTAAAATTACCTTGCGGTGGTTCTGACAGTGCCAAAAATTGGAAATACACAATAGTTTTTGCACGAAATTAATTTGAAAACACGATTATGAGGCATCGCGAGAATGAAAGGGGGACAACTCATATAGAGTTATACTTATTATAAAACCCAGGTTGTTTGAGTGTGTGTCTGTGTATTCGTTTATATATGGGATCGGATTTCCTACATTTTTCAACCGACTTCAACAAAACTTCACTTTTTTTTTGGCAGGTAGTGTTTCTTATTGTCTTGCACACTTTTTTCTTTATTTTTACATTCAGAATGCTTTAAAAATTCTATTTACAACACAATTGTTTATTATAAAATTCTATTCAATCGGTAGACTCATAACGATTGAAAACAATGTTTTTGTTTGAGTTTGACCAATTCGTAAAAAAAAACTAATTAAGACATGCGTGTCCATCAACCTTAAACAATAATCTTTGTCAATTTTATTTTTCAGTCTTTATGATGGTCGATACTTGATCTATCTCTTACTGTTACATCCCCGGGCAACGCCGGGCGCTACTGCTAGTTTGTAAATAAATTCCTTATCTTGTTTTGTTAAAATTACCCATGTGTTTCCTCATCATTATCATCTTCTATTAACCTTTTGACATGGATAAATCAACTGTTCATTTTAACCCCGAAGCCCCAGGCCACTATAGACTCATTGGGATAGCTCACTGTAGAAATATTGGCTACAAATGGTTTGGATGGCGAGAGGCTTATGTACTACCTAAAAGGTTGCAAAGAGTAGTTTCAAAAGGATTACATAACAGTGTTACCAGTGGGCATCTGAGCTAAGACCTATAGCCGCTTGTGGCAAAATTTCTACAGGGTTGGTATGCGGAACTGACACTCACATACTCTCTGAAGATTTATGGTTGTTTCTCTTTGCCTTGATATAACTGATTTCTATGCATTTTTTCATCATGACAGTGTTGTATTTTACATTACACCACGTCAAAGTGCCCTCCCAGCCCAAGTTATAGGTAAAATAAGTAGGGTAAGCTGCACTCACTAACCGTGAGTGTCAGTCAATTTTTGAAGAAAGACAACCATGAATTCAAAGCCATGTAAAAGGCAACAGAAAATCCTACTATCCTTCTCTAAAAGTCATTGTAATTCACACATATTAAAGAAAAGGAAGCTGTGGAGACCCATTGATTTGGCATAAAGATAATAAATTTATTTTATTTTTGCATGTTTACTCTAGCTCTTAAGAGAATGAGAGTCAAGCTGCAAGTTTCCTCCAGCCTCTTCAGTAATCTGAAAGACATCAAACACTGCAATGGCCTAGACAGTTTAAATCCTTCTTTGAATACCCAATACGTCCAGTCTGTTCTCAAGAGCTTTTTGGTATTGTTCCAAGTGCTCTAATTATGGGCATGACTGACCTTCATGTTCCTTGGTTGCTTCAGATAAAATCCTGTGAATGCCCTTTTTTTAAACTGCATGTCCCACATAGACAATCAACAATTCGGTAAATTTTCTTTGTTCACAACTGATTTATTCAATCTGGTCAAAAGGGATGATCAGAGTGGTCCTCAAAATTCAAGAGTATTTTTAGGCTACTTTCTGATCATATCATTTGTTTATATGGTGAAACATAAGTTGTTTACATAATTACTGGTGTATCACTCTTTCTAATCTATTATGCCTTTTTGTATATTTTTAATGATCCAGTTTGTTACGTTCACTTAAGATGTTCATTACAGTTTTATCTGTTTGACTGACATTTGCTGTTTTTTTTCTCTTTGCCTTAACATAATTGGTCTCTATTAATTTGTTCTGGGTGGCAGTGTTGCATCTTTGCATGTTAAGTATTTGGTGGTTGTCATTGTGAATTGAGGGACAGTAAAATTCTTTTGGTGATATTGAACAGCATTGGATTTTTGGTTCTTCTTAATGTAGAGTCATCTTGTTGGTGTATCAAAATTTTAGAGGTCTTTAAGGATTCTTTCTGGTCAAAGACCTTTTAAGGATATGTTAATCACTAGGGAGTCATCTTGTTCACTGGAAAATCTTCAGATGGTAACAATTTTGGAGTCTACGCTACAACAGAAAAACAAAGACAAAAAAATATTAAATACAGATCTAATTCTGACACAACAAAGCAAACACAATTTATAGAAAAATATACTTGAATTTTACTCTTTATATTGATCATAAGCTCTTATTTAAAAACAGGTAACAATAATGGAACAAAAAGTAGCATATGTAGGGAGTGGAAAGTTTGACAGTTTTTTTCCTATTAGGATGTCTTTATGTGATCATTATAATATTGTTTGCCAGATGTGTGCATTAGAGATTATTCACAGATGAATGTCTCTTTCGCAATCTGCGGGGAAAACTCTCCCTGGGTGGCTCAGCCCAAATATATAGTGTTCTCTTATCTGTCTTCTTGTCAGTGTTAATTAGTCTTGTACTGATCATGACAAGAGACAGTTTTGAAACATTCCTCATGTACATGAAAAAATAGTTCCAATATGTTGTAACAAATATTCAGTATCTTTTCACTCTTGACAGCTGCAAAGTTACTTGGGTTTAATTATACAATGACCGAATGTATATCATATATTCAAGTGTTCATCCAGCTGGCGACTGCTACCAGTTTTATATGCATTATGCACACAGTCTCGGTCTTTAGTAACTAATTCGACTAAGCCAAGATGTTACAGTAAGTTTTTAATTGATTGATCGATTTGTTTTTAAAGTCTTAGCAACCATTTGCAAGTTATTTAAATCCAGAAAATATTTTAAATTTAAAAAATTTGAGCTTGGGGTGGGTGTGGCGATAATAATGATTTTTATTAATACAAGTTCTACTAATTAACCCATAGCTGGTGGGAGAAGAGGCAGATTCATATCGTTCCCAAGGGTATTTGCGCAGTGAAAATAGTGAACCTGATTTGAATTGGAACTCAGATATCTGATTTCCAGTCCCAAACTTTTATCACTTGCACCACCCGCACACCCAATTTACACCACCCGTACACTCAAGCTTACACCATTTGCATACCCAAACTTAGAGCAGCTGGTATTCCCAAGCGGTCACCCATCTGGGTACTGACCAGGTTCAACATTGCTTAACTTTAGTACGAGAACCATGTGATATAGCTGTAAACCTACAAATAAAGGTAGTGAGGGAGTACACATAAACTCACCAACTAAAATCACCAAAGGTGATTAATACTAAAAACTACCTCTTGACTGTGAACATAACTTGTACAAAACTGGTACTTATGGCTGATCAGGTGAACACCTGATTATATTATATCAATTGTATCTATTATAAGAAAAACTCTATTCTTGACTCATCCGGAGTTTCTCTGCCTAACTTCTTACTTAGAACTGAATCTCTGTTGAGTGATATGCATATAACCCCTTTTATGGTTCCTGATATCATCTCTAACCTAGACCCCCACAAAGCATGTGGACCCAATGGTATCCCTATAATAATCATTAAGAAGTATGCAGTGAGGCATTTATTATACAGTTTAGAGAGAACAGGAGCCAGTTCAGGAGCACACTTCTTAATTCCTATTACAGGGATACTATCAGGTCCACATGTTTGTGGGGATCTAGGTTAGAGATGATAGCAGAAACCAGAGAAGGGGTTATATGCATATCACTCAACAGAGAATCAGTTCTAAGTGGGAAATTAGACAGGAATATTTCAGACAAGTCAAGAGTTAAGTTTAAGGAGAATTTAGGGGTAAAGTATTCAGCTTTATATACAGATGTTAACACTTTATATATATATATATATATATATATATATATATATATATATATATATATATGTGTGTGTGTGTGTGTGTGAAAATATATAGAAAATAGGAAAGAACTCGTTCGGTAAATAATCCAAAGTTCTTTAGTATTTTTATTACTATTTTTAAAAAATAGTGCTCGATACAAAAGTAGAGCATAAATATAATTATTTATTTAAAAATATGATTCCAACATGCTACATAAGAGTTCTCATGTTTCAAAACAAGAGCCGAAAACTTCAATATAATTATTTGACTTAAATTGAATTAAAGTACTAAGCTCTGTTCCATCTTCAAGCGAAATATATATATTTTTTTTTGAATAACTTATTTCTGAAATTTATCTCTGAATTTTACGCGTTTTATAAGCAATAAGCGTAAATTTCAGAAATAAGTTATTCAAAAAAAAAAATTTCGCTTGAAGATGGAACAGAGCTTAGTACTTTAATTCAATTCAATTCAAATAATTATTCTTGAAGTTTTCGGCTCTTGTTTTGAAACATGAGAACTCTTATGTAGCGTGTTGAATCATATTTTTTAAATAAATAACTAATATATATATATATATATATATATATATATATATATATATATATATATATATACATTTGAATGACATGTCTAGGAAAAAAAACGGAAACAGAATAATCTACAAATGACAACAATTGAAAGAAAAGAGAAAAAGACAAAATCAGAAAATGAGAAAAAAGACTAAAGAGTGAGTGTAAAGTAGAGAAAAAGAAACTACAAAAAAGACAAATAATCACGACATCCTACACGGACACACATCCGTGCAGACGGGCGCATGTGCACGAACGGACACACACACACTATGAACAAAACTTGTACCAATGTTAAGTGCATATAAAAAAGAAAAATCGAGAAAATATAAGCAGTCAATTACTGTTATTTCCTGACGAGTGGATGGACAGGCCCGTCTACAAAACTCTAGAGTCTCGATGCTGAAGGTAACATCAATCAGCTAAGTGACAAACCTTTTACATATATTAATACTATATGATTTATACATATAATCTATTTTTATTTTTATAATTTTGTCTATTTCCAGATTTGTGCATCTGAACCAAAACTTGATGTTTTGATAAATGATGCGGGTGTTGGCATAGGGCCCGTTAAAACCTCCAAACAAGGTTATGATTACACATTTGCAGTCAACCATCTTGGACATTTTCTTCTTACTCATCTCCTCCTTGGTTTGCTAAAAAAATCAAGACCAAGTCGAATCATCAATGTCAGCTCCATGTATCACAGAAAAGTGACCAGAACTCTGGACTTTAGTCGGGAACCAAAGCCAGAATCTGACATGAAATATCCTGGACTTTTTGGTTATCCAACAAGTAAACTTGCCCAAATCCTCCATACAAATATCCTGGCTAAACAACTTAAGGAACATGGCGTTGTTGCTAACAGCATGCACCCAGGATATGTGTCGTCTGGAATTTGGTACACAGATATCCACAATAAGTTTGTCATCATATTTATGAGGTTCTTTGGTTGGTTATCAACAATCATTGGACGGACTCCAAAAGATGCAGCCCAAACTGCAATCTACATGGCTGCAGACCCTGCCCTAGAAAAAGTCTCAGGACAGTATTTTGAAAATGTGGCAATATCTGATCAGCTTTCGTCTTTTGCTAAGGATCCGGAACTAGCTCAGAAAATGTGGGATGTTTCCAGTGAGATGTGTGGACTGACCAAAAAAGTGGAATAACAGTTTGGAAGAAAAGCCTCCTTCTCACGAACACAAAATGAAGAATGGAGAAAAAGTTTACAAGGGAGATAACTCTTCTTTCCACTGACCAATCTATGCTCTTTTTATCCTGAGGTCTATGAAATAAAACTTGTTTTTTTCTTTTTCTACTTAACTTTTCATTTGTCATAATTCTCTACTCATTTTATTGTGTCCTTTAACTTTTGGTTAGAATTGAAATTTGTGTTTGTGTGTATATATATATATATATATATATACACACATATATTACAGATATTATGTCTGTTTATTTTAAACATAATCCGTTCATACTCACGAATAACCTTTGCAATTAAATGATGTGAAATGTGCTATAACTGTGGAAATCGTTTTTATTTTCCAAGTACTTTCGATTTTCTTCCGAGATCATCTTCAGGGGTGCAAGTAGTAATACAAAACTGAGTGTTGCTATCCATTACTATAATTTTTTTTTTCTTTTTGCTTTTAAGTGCAACGGTTGACAGTCATGTTTAGCGTTCATTAGAACGTGAAAAAAATATCCGTTATGAAATGTTTTCTTCTATGTTGTAATGTCATGGTCAGGTGTGCATTAAAGTATGAAAAACTGTTCCTTTTATAGGCATTTCAGAACATTTCTACAGTATTTGTAGCTGATTCTATTCAGTGTCAGCTTTAATTTTTTTAATGTAGATTGCTTCGAGGATCTGTAGTTTGAATTTGTTATTTTTTTGGTGTAAGATATTTTTGTTATCTATCAGTATATTTTTATACTGCAAATATTGGTGTGGATGTCTTGCAATGGATGAATGGTCAGACATGTGTAGTGTAAGACGTTTCGTTAATGTAGTTGTCGTATATCCAACATATATATTTGTTTTTATGTTGCAGATGCACTCTCCTAAGGGAAATTTGAATTGATATATAATGTTGGTTTTACATATAACATTAGTTGGTGGGGAAGATATATTGTGAATAATTAAATTGGTTGTATTATATTTTTTTATAATATATGATTCATTTTATTTTTTTATTAGGATCCATGGAAGATATATTAGTACGAATGAGATTTTTATGATTTTCTCATCCTGTATGTAGTTAGCTTGCCTCTGGTTACAATATAAGAGTTTGATATATTGAGGATCCTTTGTGGAAGTACCATATTCTATTTGACTATGTTGAGGTGTTTGATAAATCGTCTTTTTTTTCATCTTAAACCTGGTTTGGGAAGTCATTATCAATGAGAGTCTGCTTAGTATTTTTTTAGTTCAGTGTAGAAAATCTTTTTTAAGGAGGAATTAATTTGTGCTCAGTTAATTAAATTCTGTATAAGTGCTATTTTGTAGTAATTAGGACATTCACTCTTATAGTTGAGAGTACAAGAGTTTTTGCTGGTTGGTTTTTATACGGAGAGATAGTAAATGTGTTATTATTTGTGTCTATTAAAATGTCAAGGAAAGGGACTTTGTTATCTTTCGTATGTGAAATTGAGGACAGAGTTTTTTGAAAGTTTTTTGGAGTTCAATTATTTCTTCTATGTTTTTAACTAAAATAAGTATATTATATACATATCTTAGGTAGATGAAGGGTTTCTTGGTGGTGCTAAATATATTATTTTCTAGGTTGGCCATGTAGAAGTTGCTGAAGGTTGGACCCAGAACTGAATCCATTGAAACACCATCATGTTGCACATATACGTTATTTCTGTGATCATAGAATGGGACTTCAGTGGTACAGGTTAAAAGTAATTTTCTTAGTATTTTAGGTTTAATTTTTAATGGGGGCAGGGATGAATTATTGGTTATTATATTATATGGTTTCTCTTACTGGAACGTAAGTGAACAGATTTTCAACGTCAAGTGATGCTCTGGTTTCATTTTTAAGTTTTTTGGTTGTTAATATTTGTATAAGTTCAAGGGTTGATTTAATGCTGTATTTGTTAGGTATGTATAGTGTAATTAATTGGTTAAGCGTTTTAGTTGGTAGATAAGAGTTGGAATTTGAGAGATAATAGGTCGGAGTGGAAAGTTAGGTTTGTACGTTTTGATAGAACCGTAAATTGGTTTATAGTCTCCGATTATTTTGGTAAGTTTTTGCTTGTTTTGTTCCGCATTGTTAGCTGTGATTAATTAATTAATTTTCACTTTTAGCTGAGTAGTAGGATTATTAGTAAGTTTTCTAAGTTTGGTTTGATCATCAAGTAACTGTTCAATTTTTAAGTTGTAGTCAGACTTGTTTAAAACAACAAAGATGTTTACTTTATCAGCTTTTTTAATTACTATTTCAAAATGGTTGCTTAATTCCTTTGCAGCAATTTTTAGCGATTTATTTAGGAGTTTAGATGAATTTTTCTTTTTATCATGCGTGTCTTTTATAGATTCAGCCTCAGATTTCTGGTTCTGTGGCAATATGCTGTTGTTCTTGGAGTTTAATTATGTTTTGGTATAGTGTCTTAATCTCAACTTTTTTATGTAGTTCATTATATTTTTGTATATATGGCAGTTAGGGCCGAGATTGAGTCGTTCTTTTTGGTTGTCATGCCTAAACACACACACACACACACATATATATATATATATATATATATATATTTCAGTGAAAAAATGTTTCCACTTTGTCATTCAATTGCCTAAGATTGTATTGATATGTAAAAATTAATATAATATTCTCCCATATATATATATATATATATATATATATATATATATATATATAATTTTAATTAAAAATATTTTATTTTCTAAGATATTTTACAAAAATATATTTTATAACGCCTAAATCATCAAAAATAATCAAGCATTTTAAATTATTTACTATTTAGTATTTTACATGTTGTCACAAATGGTATCAGGGTTAGGTTATATTTTGTGAAACGTTTCAGACCAAAATCAGCACCTCCTCTATGTATATATTATTCAGTTTTTATGTTTGTGTCGAATGTGAAACTTCAGCCTCGCTAGTAACCTTCATACAAGTCGACACATTGTGCCCCAGTGAGGAATCTCGGGATAACAACAGGAATATTCGTTGACGCCGTTGTCTTTCGTCTCTTAGCTGGTTAATACAACTGAGTTCAAAATTTCTGATACCAATCCGGCACAAATATCTTCAGGCATTTATATCCAGGGCAACTTGCTAGAAGTTAGTATGGGGCATATTAACAGCTGGGTACTATTTAGAATGTCTTTATAACCGAGTCACGGCCGTCCAAAACTCCTTTGTCCGTTGTCAAGCTGTCTATACATAATTGTTATCCCGTCATCACTTATCCTTGCAACGTGACTAGTCCAGCGAAGTTTTGATTGCATCAGGAAAGTCTCAATTCCACCAATGCTGCATTTTTCGGGTAGATCAGCATTGGACACCCTATCGTCACAAGTAGCCACAAATCGCAAACAACTTTTGTGTATGACATCCATGGGATCTATATGGGGTCCACGATTCTGAGCCGTACAAAAGTGTAGTCAAAACGGCTACTTTATAAACTCGTATTTTGGTCTCCAATTTGATACCTTTCTGATTCCATAGGCGGTGGCGTAGCTCCCCAAATGCGCCTGTAGCTTTGACAATCCAATTTATCTCCTCATCAAGCGATGCATTTACATTCATCTTATTTCCTAAATATGTAAATGACTTATGCATACTTCAAGTTCTTCCCATCATTCTGTATAGGAGTTTCTGGGAAGTGATGAACTGGTGAAAGTTGTTTAACACCAATAATCTGCTTTGGACAAGGAGGCGGCTGGTGGATTATCTCCGTTTTCTTTATGCTAATGGTAAGGCTAAAAGCTTTGCATGCAACCAAGAAGCGGTTGACGAATTCTTTCACTTCCATTTGGGATGTTGCCACAACTGCAACATTATCAGCAAATGGCAGATCATGAATGATGCTATTTCGAAGAACTGCTTTAACTTTGAACTGTTGATGGGTGAAATGGACACCACTGGTCCGAAATTGAAGTTTAGCACCAGTCTCTATGTCACCAAAGGCATATTTGAGCATTACTGAGAAAAAAAGAGCAAAGAGAACATAGGCCATGACAAAACCTTGCTTCGCGCAATCAGAGAATTCCCCCTCAGATACAACAGATTTCATCCCCTCGTGAAAGGAGATTATAACATTCAACATTTTGTCTGGGATTCCAAACTTTTTAAGAACTTTCCAGAGTGCTTCACAATTTAGAGTGTTGAAAGCCTTAGTAAGGTCAACAAACACTATATGCAACATCTTTTTTTTTTACACTTTTTCAGGTGGAGTGGGAAGATCATGTTAATAATGTCACAACTGGACCTGAAATCACACTGTGATTCCGGGTAAATCTCATTAACGACGTTGCTTGATAATCCTGTTCAGAATCAGTCTAGCTAATATTTTATCAGTAATTGACAGCAGATATATTCCATGATAGTCGTCACCAAAATTTCTATTAGATTTGTTCTTGATGGCAAGTACTTGGGTAATAAAAGTGGTTCTAACTGTTACAGTGCATTTATCGCTTCATTGTAATATAACGAAAAATATTCGTTAATATGAAATGATTATGATCAAAATAAGTGGTCATAACGTTTGCAGCTTATTCAATCAGATATATATATATATATATATATATATATATATATATATATATATATGTGTGTGTGTGTGTGTGTGTGTGTGTGTGTGTGTGTGTGTGTGTGTGTGTGTGCAGTATTGTAAGTTACGGTGCATTTCTTGCCTCATTTAATTGTAATATATGGAAAAATAGTCGTGAATATGAAAGAATTGTGATCAAAATAAGCAGTCATAACGTTTGCAACTTACTAAATTAGACACACACACACACACACACACACACACACACACACACACACATATATATATATATATATATATATATATATATATATATATATATATATATATATATTGATTTTGGAACCATACCCTTAGACATGTCATAATATTTCACATAACAAAAACCCACACAAATTATTTTAACTTCAGCCTTTCTATAGAAACACAC